GGCGGTGGTGCCCCCGCGGGCGGCGGGGCTGCTGGCAGCCACAAGCGTGGTGGCCGCTGCCTTAGTCCTTAAACACAATTTTTAAAAATCGCAAGAATAATCGAACTTGTTGAGATTTTCCATACCCGAGACGTCTCGGGGTTTGAAACTGTATTTCTATCGCCTTCTAATTCCATTTTGTCTCTGGTTTCTGGTATGTTTTTTTCTGTTATCAAAACCATGCCTTTCCCTGAGCAATTATAAAAGACACAAGGCAGAGGTAGAAAGTGAGAAAAGCTGGGAAGTAGGCACGGTAAAGTCATCCTTACAATGAGTAGAAAGGGCGTGAATAATCTGGTCCTTGCGTCAAGCACGGTAGCTGAAGTTAGAGAAGGAAGTTGCAAACAGTGCGCTGAGCCAAAGTCGGAGCACGTCCATCACCTGACCTAGATGATTCTTGCTTATCTATTTCTTCCGATGATGTTAATCACACACACGCACACACACACATGTGCTTTCAGTTCCAAGACCTCAGAAAGCTCCGTGGCCATGAGCTTGTTGGGTTAATATTGTTACCGTTTTATAGGCTGTTTGGTTTTACCAGGCAACACACTACAAATGTGAAGTTATCCCAGTCTGGCACCTCCCTTTTTCATTTCTTGGCTCCTAGTTTTGTCGTGTCACTTGGCTATAAAAGCACGTGTTAAAATAGCATTTGAGGAGGAATGAACACAAAGATCTTTAGAGATGCACGACTTGAGTTGTTGCAAATGTGAAAAAAAAGGATGAAACAGAGTGCGGCGAGAGGGTTGGTCAAATGATGAAATGAAAGAAATGTGGAGCTATTTATATGCAAAGAGGTCCAGCCTGCAGGCTACCAGAAATGACAGAAAACTGAAGCTAGGCAGACCTCTGCGCTCAGGTCGGGTGGCGAGAGTCAGACCACAGCCACCTGCCTCGTCATGCTGCCACTCAGCCGAAACAGGCGCTGGCGCTGGCTTGCAAGCAGTGTGCTGAGGCGTGAACGCTTTGCCAAAAGCCCCTCGGCTGTGTAAAACAGACCGTCCGCTCGTGTTGCTCTAATTTCTCCCACACGTGGATCCAACTCACAAAGTGATGCTGGCAAAAAACCTAAGTCAACTCTGGGATCGCGGATAGCACGGATAGCAGCAATTGCTTTGAATTTTAGTTATTCTCCGCTACCAAAACCAGAAACTACCTGAGCGCGTACTTAATGAAATCTTTACGGAGATTACACAGGTTTACAGGCAAGAGGGAAGGAAGAGGGGATCAGCCACTAACAAAAGAAATATCCACCGGCTTAAAGAGATCAGCATCCAGCTGCTCAGTGCCTCATGACTTCCGATTGCAAGCTCCTTGAGGCAGCCTTAATTTTCTTCTTGTCTCTCTCTACAGCACTGGGCACACTAGGGTCCTGGTCTCTGATTTGGGCCTTTACACCTGCAGTAACACAGTAAGTGAATCACTGCAGTGCTTTGCACTGATCGTTTTGTTCGTCCCATCCCAAAGAGCAGCCCTGAGCGCTTGCTTTGCTTTCCTTCGTTTTATTTGAGCGCACCAAGCGCAGCAGCACTTGCCTCTCCCAAGAGCTTGATGGCCATCCCATAGATGAAGGTCCTTGTGTAGGGAGGGGCCAAATATTCTACCTTACCATTTGGGTTTCTTGTCTTCTTCACATTGTTCCTTGAACGTCAGCCCATAAATTGATTATTCAAAGCTTGGGACTTTCCCTCTTGCAGAATCCCATTAATGCAATCATGAATAGTGGAAACGATTTGCAAGACTTGTGCAACTATTTAGCAGAGCTGGCAGCTTGTTGCTGGTCAGTTGGGTCAGCAAAATGCCAAGTTTGCTTTCAGGAAAAAGGTCCCTCCTCCTAATTTTAGGTTTAATAAAATGAGGTAGCTGTCTTAAAGTAACATTAAGGAATTGTTAACCACGCATAGGGTTTTTTCCATGTTGGGTGCCATGACATTCATTGGAGTTCTGATTTTGATTTCGCTGCTCTGAAATGTGTTGGGCTTTCCTAGTGCTCTTAAAAAACATGTTATTGTGGCCCTATGTAGGGCTGGTCTTTGTGCACAGAAGCAAAATTTGGGAGCAGCACTGCCTTAAACAGCAGCATGGTGTCTGTACGACACAGGGGATTTTCCTGCTGGGGTCCCAGAAGTGGTATAGCTGCCTTCATGCAGCGCTTTGCACAGCTGATAGGTGCCTGCTCTTCAGTAGGCTCCCTAGCCGTGGGCTCTCTGCACATAAGAGCTGCTCCTATCCTATAACCATTTTCCTTCTAATTTTCAAACCTTTTTTCTTTTTTTTTTTTTTGCTAAGACCTCCCCATGACATTATGGGTTTTGTACCCTCCTGGCAAGCTCACGCCTGTGAGCGGTGCTGAACTTGGCAGTTTCAGAACAAAGAGATTCTGCATACACTTTCTGCAAAATAAATGTCCTGAGCAAGGTCAAGGACTTGATCTGGTTTATGAATGCCCCACAATAAGATCCATCTTTCTTTGGTGGTTGGGATGAGCAATTTGTAGACTGGTACCTAGAGAGGGCCACTAACTTTAATAGATTTTGTATCAGACCTCTGGTTAGTTCAGCGTAGAGCAAAGCATGAGGAAGTGAAGTGCTTAATATTAATGGCATCACTTTATTCCATCCTTAAATCATTGTTCAGGCAGAAATACCCCTAAATCTTTTACTCTGGATTGCCGTGTCGCAGGTGTCAAAAATAATGTCATTCCACTTCTAGATTGTAAATGAGTTTACGAGCAAGGGGAGTATGTTAATGGCATGAAATGGTCTGTTTACCCTTATTCTTCTTGTTCACTGTTCAGCAAAGTGGCAAGCCTTACTGGCAGCCTTTGAAATTTCTACTGCAGAGAAGACATTAGGCCAGCTTCTTCTCTTGTGACATTCCACCGACTTGTGCATAGTTACAAGAAAAATCAAATTGATTCCTGTTTTTAGTGCATATTGCTGTATGGCATCAAAGATTAATTTAATATTTCTTAAGAAAGCCGCATAGGAAACCCCACTTCAAGTTAGAGCAGTTGTAAGGCTGCTCTACCTGGATAGGGACTGTGTTGCCTCCTGCCCGCAAGAGGTCTAATCCTGCCCCACTTAAGCGTAACGGAGGACAGAGCAGATGGCACGGAGCTTTGTGCCGACAGAAGAATTCCCAGTAACAAGGGCCTCCCTGTCAGTGTTTTCAAAGCAGCTTTAAGGTCGTCTTTGTATTGCTGGAGTGGATTCAGTCTTGCTGAGGATTTAATCCCTTCAAGCCAGATGTGGGTCTAGATTACAGCAGTATCAATCTTTTCCGGAATCCCCCTATAACCGCAATCGGCCTGTGGTCCATTTAGTTAGGTATTTTTCTCTTCTTTGGTGGAAAACCCTGAAAGAAATATTTCGAGATACTCAAGAAATGACATTAGAATGAGTGAAAAGTACATACCCAACCGGTATACTGAGTATCTGTATATTATTGTTTGTAAAATAACCCTTTTTTCAAGAGACAATGAAAAGATTTTCTTGCCAATCATCATGAAACACCCTATTTTTTATTCCTTTGAACTATCTTCTATTGTCTGTGAGAAATCTCAGGAACCTTGCTTGAATGCCTTATGTGAACAAATACTGCTGAAGGGGAAGCAGCAATGGCAGGATCATCCCCATCATTTTTCAGGGAAAAGTGATCAAAATTTGCCCTCTGTTACCCTCATTCAAGCTCGTAACAGAGAACAAGGTTATTCCCCTGTGCCCGTTTCTTGTAGCACCTTTGCAGGGGTGGTAAGATGCAGGCACGTCCTTAGGAAAGGTTATTAAAGAGTTCCCGAATCAGAAATTAGGAACACACTACATTGCTGCATGGAAGCAAGAATCCCTCGAAGGCAGTTTTCAGATTTCCAAGTAAATCTATCCTCCAACAGCTGCTCTCTAGTGCTGCAATTTCTCATGCGTGAGAAAACAGAGGGTACAAAGTAGGAGCTTTTCCACAGTGCGCATGGACAACAAACCCCTCTGAATTCCAGCAGATGTTTTGGGATGACAATGGAAACATTATATGTGCATTTATTCCTTTATCTCAGGGAGAAATGCCATTTGGCGGCAGTTTGCTCCCTGGCAGTAAGAACGAATTACTGATCTGATTGAGCCTTGCAGGACAAAGAAGTGCCATCCTGCATGAGATGCAGTTTGCAAACCGAGTGGTTCTTGCACTTGGAGGGAGTACACGCA